CGGGGACGTTTGGGAAGGGGTGGAGTTGGGCGGGCGGGGCCCCGTGGAGTGTCCTCTTTTTGGACACTCAAAATATGGTAACCCTAGCAAACTGCCCCTTTTACCCTGCCGCCTCCATCTTTTGGGGTGGTGCTGGTTAGTAGCAACATCAGCAAACTATTTTGTAGCATCCTCAGTATGTCCATAATATACTATCTGATCAGCAGTAATGTAACCCATTAAAGTAAAATTTGATTCCTGTCTTAGAAATGAACTGTGAACCACACCATTGCCTTACAGTTTCTTGGTAACAAGTACCGGTATATAAAAAACAAAACACAGGGCAAGATAGCATCCTGCTTTATGGATTTTTTTTTTTAATCCCACAAACCTTTTGAATCTATTTGGCAGCCAGGGCTTACCTTTACATTGCTACAAAATGGAATTGGGGAGAAAACATTTGACTCATTTGAACCCATGTACTAATCCACGAATGCACAGTAAAAATAAACAACATAGAAACCAAAATCTTCAAGCAAGAAAGGGGAGTAAAACAAAGATATAACCTCAGTTGACTCTTTTCATCATCCATCAATAACCTGCTGTATCAACCCTATTGGCATACTCTCCAACCCCAGGATTCTTACTAAACTACTTTGAGATAAAGTGCATACTGCATATTGATAAACTAGTCATATTATCACTTACATAAAATAATCTTGACAGGAATTTTCACCTGTTAGAGTACATGGGCCCTACAGGGGAAGCCTGAAAACCCCCAAACCATGATATTTTTTAAAAATCACCCTTGAACACTAAAATCTTATTGCAGAGATATAGATATGGAATATGACCTAAATTATACATACCTGAGCCTCAAAATAAATGCATCAGGAAGGTTCAGATTGAAGAAAAAGGTCTGTGAACCTTCTGTGCCATAAATAAACCATAGATTCCAAGGCCAGAAGATACCATTGTGATCATCTAGTCTGACCTGTATAACATAGGCCATAGACCTTCCGCATAATAATTGCTAGAGCACATCTTTTCCCAAAACATCCAATCTTGATTTGAAAATTGTCAGTGATAGAGAAACCACTAGATAGATACAATCCTCCAATAAAACTCCTGTTAAGTTATTCAAGTTATCACATTTCGCTATGTGGGAGGGAAGGCTGGTCCAAACATAAAAGCCAGTTTTAACATTTAGAACAAAATCTCACATCTGGAGTTCTGCTAACAAACACTCCATGTGCCCAGAACTCCAGCAACAATGGAGAGGCAGAACTCTCATTTCCTCCTATTCAACCCATACCATCCCACTAAACTCCTGGTGCCATCTCACCCAAAGCAGCTAACACAACCTTCACTGTAATGCACTAACTAAGGGATCAAAAATTAAATCCAACTGAAAGCCTGATTCACTCCTATTTA